ATCTTGAACACGAAACCTGCTGCTACGGGTGAAACAACTAGAAAGAGTCTGCTTCTGCCCTTGAAATTTATCGATTTCTTTCGTCCCACGCGGTGTGTGCTCGTGCATTGCGGTGACCCGGCATTTCAGCGAAGTCTGGCTGCATGACCGACACTGACAAGTCGGACATTTCAGACTAGCAACTGTTTTCTTCGCATCCGTTTTCGATTGCTTTTGGTTAATTATAACAAAACCATAATCTTCTGAACCGCTTAAGATTCTACCCGTGCTATCGGGCTATTTTGTGGTATCAAGAGTAAGCTGTGAAGGCATTTTCTTGATCGTGGTACACAAAAGTTATCTATAATACAGGTCGCATCACGGTCGACTGCTGCGTTATTCACATGTTCGACATTCCCAATATCTACAAAATGTTGTTTTCGCTGAAGTCCAACATCGACTGAGGTAACGGCCACTGGAAATCTGGAAAAAAGTAGCTCAGTGTGGTTACATAGGCTTGTAGGGACATTTAAATTATGTTGCATTTCTCTCGTTTCAATTGGGTGGAGTTTCACGGTTGCGCGAACTCCAGCTGTCAGATTCAAATCTTTAGTCCGAAATTCACCCCATAAAGCGACTTTATTTTCAGTAAAGTGGTTTCGACTGGTTACGGGGCTAACATTTGGTAACCTGTCTTTGACCTGTTGATAATACCTCCCTGCTTAAAGTAATTGTCACCCACTTAGACGCCAATTCCGAGACATGCCTTGTACACTAGTTTTCGTCTGTAATCCATGCCTTTACATTCTTTTCTCTCCTGGATTCCCTCAAAGACGCTGATCCAAACGGTACCTCAGGCAGATTATGTGCCGAGCCGGCGCTGACTTCAGACGTCCATTTGTCATTTGACAAAAAACCCGCTCGACCAAATTCCCTTTCCCTTCCCGATCACGCCGACAAGTCAGTTGAAACAAGCAATGAATTCAGAATTCAAAGGGATGTCGTCGAGGTTGTGGGAGCCGATAGTTCTGACGCACATTCCTCTCCTACTGTGTCTAGCAATGGCCCAAGTATCTCTCCCGCGTCGGAAATCGCCAGCTCTAATACGGAGGAAGTCATGACACTCAGAGGTAATCCATTATTATGTCCGACTGGGTTCTTGGTTAAGGTTGCCGACCTCCACTTATTTTTAATAGACACACTGTCATTGTACTGTGTTCTAGTCATGGGCCTCGAGCCTATTGGGACGAGCACTGTTATTTATAGGCCATAAGGCACAACGGAACGAGTGAGTTCCGTATGAACGATCGGTGAGCGCCCCCTAACATTGTATATTCCCGATCGAAAACCGACAGGGCAACGGGCTCGTGGCCCGGTGAGTAGAGGCGTTGACTTCTAAACCAACAGGTCGCGAGTTCCAGGCTCGGGTGTTCCACACTTCGGGCTTGGGTATGGCTGGCTGACGACGGCTAATAAGCCAGAAATGGCCATTCCAGTCTCCCTTGTCTTTGTCAGTAATATCATTCTGCCTATATATATCATGCGCCGCTGCGCGGCTGCTGGTTGGGCTCGAGAGAGAGAGCCCATAAGGCACAACGGAACGAATGAGTTCCGTATGAACGATCGGTGAGCGCCCCCTAACACTGTTATTTATGGTACGGACACGAAATGGGGTAATTTTATTTTTCGTAAGGTTTATTTTTTTCGAACAATTAATACACAGGACCGATCTTCTCAACAGGGTCTAGCGCAAGTTCCACACAACTCCAATGTATGGCCGCCATAGTTGCAGTAAGCTCCGGCGGTGTCGTAAGGTTTCGGTTATCGAGGTATAAGGTGTCTGAAAATTACTCTCACAACTGCATTGAGTAACATCAGGCCTGTTATTTACAGACCCAATACACATGTAACGCCATTTTTCGGACACTGTATCTATTAAGGTAGTGAAACGCGAGGAAACTGATACAAACGGAATATCGTCTGAGATGGTCACCCAGCAATGACGCGATAGATCGTTATAGTTAGGCTGTGTGCCTTACTTCAGATTAAAAAAGGGGATAATAAACCTACTTGATTGGTTCCGTAGTTGTATTAGAAGAATGCTCCTGATGCTACGCACGTCACATACATACACTTTTTTCACTGACTAGAAGTATTTGTCTTCTCCTATTGGTTTTCTGCCTAATCTGTACTTAAACCTCACTTATTTTTCTACAGAGTCCATGCGCCTCGCCGTCGAGCAGATTAATCACTATAAGGCCATAATTGCGGACCTGGAAGCATCAGGTAGCGTGCCCTCTATGTGTTTTCGTTAAATTTGTTTATCTGCCACGTGACTACGCATGCATGCAGTTGGGCCCGTTATTAAATCTGTGTGGCGGCGAACTACTTTGGCAAGCAGATGTCTATCCAGAACTTATTCAAGCGCGTTTAATTTCACCATTTGTGACTCAAACCACCAAAAACATTTCCTTCCCGCAAGGGGTTTTTGTTGACGTTATAATCATTCCAATTAACATTGAAGTTTTGTTCACCGGTCTGTAATGGTCAGTCGACGTGAGGGGCGCATCCTTTTGTGTTGGAGTTCTGGCCGCATAACAACGAATAGTACGTGAATGAGAAGCAATAGCAACAAAGACAGGG